AACAAGGTTTTGGAATTAGAGAGTTGGGAAGAACTTGTCAAACTTGTCAGCTTGCCACTCTTGCCCCTTCCCAGTTGTAGCCTTGAAGGGTTGGTGGGCCTATAGTCAAAGTTGCTGTTGCAGCCTGGGCTCAAGAACATCCTTGACAAAAGGGCTTTGTCAGCCACAAGAAGTGCCCACAAGCATGTGACTTGGCTTTGTCAGCCAGCAACCCTTGACAAAAAAGGAGTTGCTACATACTTGACAAAAGTATTGACATGGCAGGCGCAAGGCCACCCAAAAGATTGAGGGGGTGGCAGTGGGAGAAAGAACAACACAGTCCTTTCCAAAAAGACCCCATGGAGAGTGCAACTGCTAGTAACCCACTATGCTCCAGGCTTATTGAGCTGTGGAGCCAAGGACGATTCTCAGCCAGCCAAGTTTCTGAAATCTGCTACCTTGCCTTCTTAAGCGGGTGTGATCATCCTGAAATTCTTGCAATTGCTAAATGTGGCAACTTCCAGCAACAAGCTGGGAACTGTCACAGGGACTTAGTGAATCTGCAATGCAAGTCTTTGAAAATTGCAGATCCCCACCCAGTGAAGACATGGGTGGAAAGCTGTTCAATAAGAGCTCCCTGTGCTTTTGCCACATGTCCAGTTCAGCCGGCTTAGCCAGGAGTACCCTGAATGGTTTGGCACAATCTTTGCCAGGCAAAGTGCACGCCCCTGCTAAAACAATCCCCTTGTTTATTCATGGGGATGGCTGTGAGTTCCAAACCAGGGACAGCCTCATGACTTGGTCCTGGGGCAGCCTTTTATGTGGAAACCCCAGCCTGTCTTGCCACTTGCTTCTAACAGCAGAGCCAAAATCCTGCACTTTACCAGAAACATGGGGGCAACTGGATACTTGGATTGCTTGGTCTTTTCAGGCCTTGGCAAAAGGCATGCACCCAACAACAGACCCATGAGGCAAGCCCTTGACAAAAGGCGATTTGCCCCAGCTGGCTGGGCAACCCTTGTCCAGTCAGGGTACAGGGCAGTCATCTGGAGCATTCAGGGGGATAAGTTTTATGCAACTGTCCTCAAGCTACCCCACTGGCAGAACCAATGCCCCTGCCATGAGTGTGACTGCCAAAGGCCTGTCTACAAGAAAACCAGGTGTCCACCTGGAAAGTCAGTCAAGATCCTGAAGGAAGAAGACCAACACTTCAATGATGTTTCCCCAGCACAAGCTGCCCTTGACAAAAGGAGCAGCCACCCCCTCTTCAGCATTGAAGGTGTGTCAGGTGCCCTTGTGAGAGGGGACAGCTTGCGCATTCTCTACTTAGAGGGGTGGCCTCACACTTGGCAGGGAGCTTGATCCACTACCTTTGCTACTATGACTGGCCAAAAAGGCAAGCTGTTCCGCCTACACAAAGGCTTGCAAAGATCTTCTCCAAAATCAGAGAGCTCTACTCTGAGAAGCAAGTGCCCAACAGGATGACAAACATGAGGCTGTCCATGCTGACAGACACCACAAAGCCCCACAAAAGGCCTCCATGGAAGCAAAGGCTGCTCTTGCCATGCTTGGAAGCCTTGCTGGCTGAAGTTCTTGATCCTGAAGAAGACCCTATTCATAGCACAATGCTGGAGTGCATTGGTGCATTAAACCGGTTGATTAGCCACATGGACAACATTAGTGCCTTCCCCACTGCCTCTGAGTACAAAGTGGTTGATCGCCTTGCCAAAAGGTTTTTTGATTGCTACCAAGACCTCCATGATTGGGCCTTGGCAAAAGGCAGAAAGCTGTTTCATATAGTTCACAAATTTCATTCTTGCAGGCACTTGTTCAAAAACACAAGATATCTCAACTACAGGGCCCGCCACAACTTCAAGGCTGAAGATTTTGTTGGGCAAATACCCCAGCTTGCCCACAGCTGCAGCTTCAAGACTGCCTGCCAAGATTATGGAAAAGTACAAAATCCTAGTACACCTTCAGCTGACCAAGCCTGGCTTTGGCTTTGTGATGGGAGATGATGGCTGCTAGTTGCCCTTGACAGAAGGCTTTGCCTCTTCAACCGTATCTTGACAAAAGATAGTTGCCCTTGACAAGGGGGTACCTCTTCAACCATTTCTTGACAAAAGAAATGAGAAATTGTTTAAAGCAGCTTGTTCAGCTTAAGCCTTTTGACAAAAAAGGTAGAGCTCACTTTGACCAGCCTCAGCTTTTGACACTTAAAGTGCAACCTGTTTGCTGCTCCCCTGTTGACAAAACAGGAGCAGCTGGCCAAAGACCCTGCTTTGATTTGGGCTTGAGAAAAGATGCTCAAATATATTGATTTTAAAGGTCGGATGTATATTGATCTAAGAGGCTTTCAAATCAATAATTTGCAACTGGAAAAAAATCAATATCAATATGAGTTTGAGAATATTGATTAGAATCAATACCCGATGCCCAGGGTTTCTTCCGCGTCTCCTAAATGGAGATACGTTTGACCTTAGCGCGGACCCACCCAAGCTCCCGTGACCGGAGCCGGTGGGTGACTCACTTCCCTTAGGTGGCAGACTCCCTGAGGCCTGGGTGCCTCCGGCCCCGGCCAGCGGGGGGCGCAATCAGTCTGCACACCGGTTATTTTCCTGTCCAGGATTTTTGAAGCGGGTGGCACGGAGGGCCACCCAACCTGGAACTCATGAAAGGGAAGATGAGTCCCTGGCACCAACACAATCCTTGGATAAAAGAGTTATCGCCTGCTTGTGTTGTGCCGTTTGGTCAGCTTGCATACACTGGTGGTGTTGTTGGTGTTGTTGTTGGTGTTGTTGTTGGTGGTGTTGTTGTTGTTGGTGGTGTTGGTGGTGGTGGTGGTGGTGGTGGTGGTGGTGGTGGTGTTGGTGGTGGTGGTGGTGGTGTTGGTGTTGGTGTTGGTGTTGGTGTATCTAGTATACTGTAGTTTTGCAAGGCTAGCAAGTCGTTCGGCGACGTTTGCTTTTCCAACTTGCTTTGATATGAGGCTAGCCTGCCGAGTCTCAATCATTAGGTGGATATGTTGTTTAGGACAACCCTCGGTGAGCCACAATTCAATCCTGGGTATATGAAGGTTAGCCGGGGACAGCGCTAGCCAGAAGCAGCTGCAGCGGCCCTGTTGTTTCTTTACATGGTTGTGGGAAAAAACTCTTAATGCCAGGTTTTACACATGCGACCGCATTTTCCAGGAGAGGCGCTCATTTTCACAACCCCCTTTTTGAATGCAGCACGGAGTTTGTTGGATCCACACGAGCGAGGTTCCTGTTCGCATAGCATCGTGTAAAGGATAGAGCTGTGTGAACATCCCTGCAGGATCCATTGCACAACTTTGACAGCCCAAAGAACAAGGAGCTCATTGTGGACGGCCCTTACAAGGCGCTGCGCAATTCAGGGGATGGACCTGCAATTAGCTTGAAAGGCACTGCTCCGTTTTGCATTCATCATTGGTGGGAGTGGGCGGGGGGGGCACCCCGGCGCTAGATACGAAGTCTATCAAAGCTGTTTCTCCTGCAGTGATGCTATTTGCCCCAGGCAGTGCCGCTATGTTCCCTGCAGCCAGGCAGGTGGCGGGAAGAGCAGTTTGGCAGTTTGGCTTGATAAGTCAGGCTACATTTGGTACGTACGTTTAGAAGAATGCGGCCGTTTAACAGACAGACTGCCTTGAGAACCAGCATCTCTTGGCTGACGGACCTCGGTATGTTCACCAGCTTTGGTGCAACTGAAAGACTTGACATGATGCCAGTACTGATTGAGTCTGGGTGAGTCTCTTCGCCAAGGGCAAGGAGGTGAGGTCCTAATTTTGGATGGCGTGAACCGCAGATGGGCTCTTGGGGGCAAAAACTAGCTAACCCGTGTTTGGGTGAGCAGACTATTGCCATGGTCAAAGGCAATTTGGGTGCTGATCTAAACAGGAAAGTCATCCTTGAAAACCGGGTTTGAAGTACGAGCCCCAATTCGAGTGTGCCACTTCAGAAGCTTTCCAAGTTGGTCACAGTGGCACTGTGGCACTCGTGATCGGACATTTTTCCAGCACGGATGCGCAAGGCAAAGCCTTAGTCCACCTTTGCAGCAGCGAGAAGCCGATTTGCGCGCCCGCCTTGGACGATGACTTGCCGCCTCCGCCCTCCCCGCCGGAGCGGGGAGCACTGCGAGGGGCGAGGGGCAGTGCGAGCCGCTGGAAGCCGTGCAGTTGACGCGAATGTGTCAAACCAGCCCCTCTATTGTGTTCTTGTTTGTTCTGCAAAAACACGAAACAAGTACATTTGGTTTGCCCATTGCGTGAGAAAAGCAGTGAGAAAAGGATCTCACACATGAACCCAAGGCTTTGCCTTGTCAACAAGCACCTGGTACGTGTTTGTGCATGTGAGGCGACGTGGAACTGCATATTTTTCAGGGAAGCAGCTATGCTAGTGGAAAGCTTGCTGGAAGCGTGGCATGTCGCGGCATTGGGGATTTGCGCTTGAAAGTTCGCTAGTGCCGCAGGTTGCGTAGAAATTATTGCGCCCTTGCAATGGCCAGCTTCCTTTTCATTCAGCCATTGAGTGAGTGGGGGAGTGGGGGTTGGGGGGTTGTAAACCATTGCTGGCTTCGCCAACCAGCCTCCGCTCTTTAAACACACGAATATGTTGCAAAGAATATGCTTGCACGCGCATCTCAAGCTGAGATGCAATAGTTTTTAATTGAAATCACCGGTGGCACAACTTCCAAGCCCTTACACAGATTCGCTGAGTTCAGTTCTCAGTCAATGGAGTTTATATCGAAATCCCAATTAGCGATTTGTTGATTATTTCTTCTTGGAACGGATCTCGTAGTGACTTGTTTAAGCGCGCGTGAGGCCCAATCCGGTGTCGACCGCATTGGCAGCCCAAGTATTCAAGCCGAGCGAAACAGTTCAATTTCTCAGGAAAGTTCAAACTTAAGACGCACATCCCAGCGCTGTTCAGACGTAAAGGCCAACAAAATTGGCTCGAAGCCAGTAATGAACATATTGCAAAAGATGTGTTAAGAGGCTTGCATCTTCCAACAACTTGCAGAGGTGTCCTGTCTAAGATGAGTCACAAGAACAAGCGCAAGCTTGTGTTCTGAAGAAGAGATCACATCAGCCACCTAGAGCAAGCATGATTTTCTGGAGACCTAATCTCCAGAACTACCAACAAGACGTGATGTAAAAATAGTTTGTGTCTCGTAGACACCAGCACAACAAATATATTATGCTCGTGGACATGAGACGATCACAAGGACAGCTTGCAATCTTTCTGAATACCCAAAGATGAAGAAGCAGATATCGAATGCCTGCATACTTCAGTCTCATGAGACAAGTGAATGCAAAGCTTGTTCACATCAGACGCAATTCTTGTGAGATATGGGATCTAGTGAGTAGATCTCATGCAAGCATTTTGCCTTATGCAGGGTGGGTTGTTGTGGATTTCATTTGCGGAAGGACTCACCAAGGGAGAATGACGGCGACGAGTCAAGGCACGAGAGTTTGCATCACCTGCGCCGGTCATGGGGGTTTGTGTGTGTGTGCTTGCGCGGTGTGTCAGTGTGCGTGTGTGGTGTCGGTGCGCGCGTGTGTGTTGTGCTGTGTGGTGTCGTTTTGTGTTGTTCTGTGCTGTGTTGTGTGTTGGACCGAGAGGAATCTTCTATTTTGGCACGTGTCCATGTTATTGATGAGCAGCGGGCCCGCATGCGTCACTGTGCGAAACCTTCCCAGCAATGAGGGAATTACTATGCAAGTGGGCTGACAAGCACTTGTTTCAAGAGCAAACCAAAAGGAGTCCACTGGATAGGGGCCTGTGCTGACGTGACTCCCTCCAGGGCATATGTGGGCCAGCAACTGGAGTTCTACTCCAAGACAGCCCAGAGATGGCTGCCATGTGCAAGCCTCAGTCGCTTCTCTTTTGGCTGCTGCAAAATCCTTCCAAGGTGAACACATGCCAAGAAACTTTTGGGAGCGTCAAACAAAGACAAATTCACCAATATCCTATATTGGCATGTTTAATACATTGTCAGCTCCACAAGACAAAGACTGGTAGAGTGCACAGCGCAAATGAAGCTGCTCCGAATCGTGAGCCCAGGCGAGGTCATCAATGTGCGCAGCGACTCGGCCATCATGGTCAACGTGAAGCCCAACACATGGCTTACGCTGGAGGACAACTTGGGTGGAGCTTGGGATGCTTGGGATGCAAAGCGGAATCCACGTGTGTGTGTGTGTGTGTACCTCCCATTGGTTTAGGGCTGTTTCCATACACCGGCGGGTTCCCACTACTCAGAGAGTCGTTGTGTTGCCACTGTGTTTCGCCCGGGTTCTTGCCAAAATTGTGCGTCAGTTGTGGTCTGCTTCCTCGCAAAGAAGGACACTGCTCAGCAACTGTTCCATGTGTTTGACACCACGGTGCTCTCTGAATGTGCCGGAGCTCGACACATTGGCCATGTGCCGCGCAGTCAGAAACTCTTCATCATGTGTCATGTAATCGCTTGATGCAAAAGTAGATGAGAAACACCCAGCTCAAGCATGAAGCCGCTAGCCAGGCGTAGCTCAAGTTGTGGAAGTGCTCCCAACGGTTTAGACAGAGTTCACGCTTCATCACCCGTTCCGAAACGCGGGAATGAAATATCTACGCCATTCGCAACTGACGCGTTCAAAGGGATCTTGTTCAATGGTTGGCTTTTTGTTTCCCACTTTGAAGCGTACACTGGATCCGGTCTTTCTCTAGGACCAGAAGGCGCGCATCCGCTCTCCGCTCCGGCGCAGTTTCAGCGCCAAAAGCATGCAGGCAGGAGGGAGAGCACATGGGACTCACTGTCTCGATAAGGGGCCTTTCCCTTCTATGTTTCTTCCAGCTTCCACTACTTGAACATGTAACATGTCAGTGTCAAACATCGTCTTCAGACAGCTCAGGACATGCCTGTAGAACCATGCAGAGGGCAAGGCTAGGGTCGCCCTTGAAAGTCCAGTCGGTGAAGCTCAATGGGTGACATCTTTCAAGTTGGCAGGTGGACATAACTTGCCAATGGTAAGCAATGTCCACCAAAAGCGTCCCAAACTCGAATTCACACCTGCGTATTCCCCCAACATATCCATATTCATTGCGAAACGTTTGGCGGTTGAGCCCGACTCCGGAGTGGTGCCGGTGTTTGGAGTTTCAAACTCAGGGTGCTCAGGGCTAGCATGTTCACAGTTTGGAGCACTGGCAAAGGGGTTTCTCCTGTCTTCGGAGTTGGTCATGTTTCCGCCGATTTCATCAGACCAGTGGCCAAGCGAAGCAACACGTTTGTTTGATGCTTGCCAGCTGATGTTCTTCGCTGCAGTTGCCGAGCTCTTCAGGACGCTGCTGCAGTAGAGGTCCACGACATCGATGACTTGACTTCGAGCCTTGGGTGAATGGACCAATGTGCCACCGGTGACTCGGGAATCTCTTTGCGACCACTGAAGATAATAGGATTTGGGCGGGGCATATGGCCATGGGTCAAAACCCCGTACCCCCAGTCAACATCCCAATGGCCACTAAAGTAGTCTAAAACGGGTGGTGCACCAACCCCCAATAGTACCGTTGGTTTTTTCCCACGGCCATATATCCACCACGGGTCTCGTTACACTACTTTGCAGGGCAAAGGTTTGGATTTGGGCGTAAGGGAGTAGTCCCAGCTCGCCAATGGCGAATCCATTTTCACAAACCCGACTGTCAAACTCAGAAACCGTGGGGTTTCTTGACGCCATCACCAACCACCGTGAGTTGACTGCAAAACGAATGCCACGGCGCTGGCCTTGACCTCAGGTCGCAGAGCCCAAGTTTGACGCTGGGCCAAGCCGTGGAATACTTCTCCGCCTCGGCGAACCGCTGGATCCCCTGCCGCGTGACCAACATCGACGCGGCGCTCCTCGCCAGGGTTTTCAGGGACCGAGCGAGCCGGAGAGGGAGAGCGCGGCATCCGATAGTATTCACAGAAAGATTCTGCAAAAGCGTGGGTTGCGGCATTTCTGGAAGTATTCAGCCTGTTGCCAGGTTGTTTGAGTAGTCGGGAAAGACCGAGCCACGATTTGGACAACAAGTGCTGTTTTCAAGCTGGATTTGAGCCCCTTCCCATTAGCGCTCCCAGCATGTTTTGGTGGCCTATGCATCGTGTCCTTTTGTTGCCTTTCAGCTGTCATTTAGCCTTGAGCTGGAGTGGGATGCTGGGGTTGCCTCCTTGCAGGGGACACCCAGTTCAGAGTATTGCGGAGAAGGTTGTAGCAACAACAGCCCATGCTTTGTTCTTTTCAAGAAACACCCCCATGTAAAGACGACGCCCTCAATTGAAGCATCCCTCGCTCTGCAAAGCCTGAAGCAAGCGATCCCAAGCAAGGGATGCATTCGCTGGTTTCCCCAGAGATCGCCATCAACTAGGCCGACAGTTGTCTAAGCGTTTTGCTCCACACATGAATGACCTACCTGTGCGCTCAGGAAGTCCATCCAGGTCGACGTGAAGCCGGGATGTTGGATCCCTGTGCATTACCAGAAGCAGCACATCCGGCCTGTGGAGGTGCTGCGGGTCAGGGGGGCAGGATATAGCATCCATCGGATTTGGAGTGGTTTAGTTGAATGGTAAGACGATGGGAACGCGGCGATACAAAGCATTGTGCTTCATCTTAGGAGGGCTTCGTCTATCAACAGGTGTTCGGGAAAGCTCAGGCTCTTTCATCAAATGCCTGCTCAGAAGCAAAGCCACAGAGACCATGACAACAGCCTGGCGTGTTGATTGGTTATTGAAGAACAGGCAAATTAGTTTACCCCCGTGTATCATGATGGGGGACTGCAGATCTTGTGACTGAATTTCATGGAGCCATGAACGTCCTAAACATGGAAGCAAAGCAGCTGCAACTGGTTGTCGGCCCTGCTTCTGCCGCATTATTATAGGAAAGTAGTCAAGATGCAGGGCACCCTCGACCTTGGTTGTCGTGCAATGTTTTGCAGGAGCAGCACCATTTCAACAAACTGATGCCTAGCGATGGGTCCTCCGGAAACCCGGAACATGATCCGTGGATCTAACCTGAACCTACGACTTGGTGCATGCCTACGCAAGGACAAACTTCAAATGGCCATGGCCTTCGATTGCAATACCCTTCACACCAAAACAAGCTGTACCAGTTCTGACAACAATTGTCGAATTCCTAAGTTCAAGACCAGCGCTCAATCATACATGGATCATGTTGGGTACATGTCAGTGTCCCCAAGAGCTTGTTGGTCTTATCATGTCTTATCCCCAAGATCTCGGGATGAACTCCCCGTCTGGCAACTGCGTGGCTGTTAGCGCAGGCGCAAGGGGGCCGCTCAGAGGTGCCGCGGAGCCTGGCAGGCGGCCGGCCTGAGAGAGGGGACCGGGGGACCGGGGTTCAGCAACCTGCTTGGAGGCTTCATTGTTTAAACGCCAACGTGCTTGTCAAGCTAGTTTGCTTCATTTGCGCCTATTGAAACAGGACAGGGAGTTCTGAAACATGGAAGATCAGCTTGAAATTGCAGGGACCAAACCTGCAGCTACCTTTGCAGCGGGAATGGCCTTCCAGGGGTCTTTCACAGGGATTCTGCGTCTGAGGGTACGAGTCAAAGACTCGAGCTTCGAAGGTGTTTGAGGGTGGCTTCGGATTGGAGCACAAGGGGAAAGCGGGAGCGAGCGGGAGCTGCACAGGTCCTGGCTTTAATCTGGAGGAAGCGGCGAGTTTTTGACACGTCAAAGACTGCTGACCCTGCCACGACTGCTGACCCTGCCAGACCGGTCTAGTCAGACACACCAGCACGCGCCACAATCCATTGCTGATCCAAGCTTGTTGTTGCGCGTTGTTATATTGCTATAAATATATCGGCACAGGCAGATTGATCATCTAAGATTTCGGCAGTTCTGGGCAGGAAGCCAGGACTTGGATTCTATGTGGGAAGGGATGACTTTGATGTCAATGGTGTTCTGGATGGACTTGCTTTAAAATCAAGCTTTTGGACAAATGGTCGCTAGGCAAGAGAGCCCGGCCCCAAGATTGACATAGAGGTTACGAAGACCATTGGTACACGATCCCTCCTAATATGTTAGCCTGGCTCTGCAAATGTTGGGCAGAGGGCAGTGGTAGAGAAGTCAGCGGCACGATATCTTGGCATTTTGGAGTAAGGGTAGTGGCTTGAAACAAATGGGCAGGGCAAGCCGAAGCCGTCGCCCCGTGCCAGATGTGGAGCTGGAGTACTACTCCTTGAACCTGTCAGCCTGGATCCCCTGCGCCATCCTGGAACAGGATCTGAATCGAGTGAATGCTGCCCTTGGCAAAGCGACCCATCCTTGGCGAAGGCTTCCCTTTTCTTGGGAACCATGCAGAAGGCTTGAGCCCTTGTTTGGGAGCAGGCTCCCGCTCGAATCATCCTTTCCTTGTCGTTCGGCTTATTGAAGAGAAACAACGAAGACCCGTCACACTGGGGCCCTCCCAGCAAGAGTCGTTTTGTTTCGCCTACATAATATAAACTTTGCTGTGGCTGTCTAGGAAGGTTCCTGGCCGGTCAGTATTTAGAAGATTCCTTTAGTGGTGGTTGGAAAATAACAACATCCGCCCTGGATTGAAAGTGCTTGCTAGACAATTGATTGAATGTAGTTTGGATGTGCACTTTTGCCGCATGCAAATTGAGCTGGGTTTGGGTGCTAGAAAGATGATCGTGGCGACTGTCTCAGATGATCGAGAAGACCTGATTACCTCGGATAAAAGTTGTACTCAACGTGCTAAAGACGACAAGAGTGTCTTTGTTCAATCATGAGTAATCTGGCCTGCATGGGTTAGAATGCTAACTCAGAACCAGGTTTTCCGTAAGGGAGTCCACAAGACATTGTCTACGAGCTGAATGGATTTGCCATTCGGGGGACCTTCCAAGCTGGAAGCCTTTTGCACTCTTCGAGGCCTTCAGTGCCGCAGACAGCTTGCGGCACATGTTGCAGGGCAAGTCACTGCGTTGGAGTCAGACTTCCATTGGGAAAAATATTGAAGGCTCGGTCACTTCTGTCCTTTCACGAACGTTGCCATCCATTGATTGCGCTCGCCGGCATTCATCGCCCCTGCGAGGATGCAGAGACTGGCAGCATTGTCATAGATGCCCTTCCATATGCCTGGATCACCCCAGCGCAGCAGGCCACTTACCTACGCATCTTGGCAAGAGGGGACGGTACCATATCCTTTTGGACTGATTCAGCGGAAATTTGAGGATGACTCTTCAGTGGCCCAGAAGTGTTCAAGTTTCGGCCAACACCCAAGGGCGCTCATTTGCGGAACTGGCATACAGAGTCTGGAGCCGGCGCATGAGGAAATCACCACGTTCACCACGTGCCCGTTGCCTCATGTCATTCGCTTCAAAACGATCCAGGTGCTGCAGCGGCGGTGCGGCTGAGAGCCTCGGTTGGAGCTGGCGCTTTCCGTGCAACTTGCGGATTTGCTATGAACGGCTGCCACCAGCCCCTCCTTACTGTTGATATCTTTTGGAGCTATGGTTGACCGTCCTTTTGCACGGCTTTGCAGGGGACTTATCATGTTGTGCTGTTGTTGGGAGTTGATTTGCCAGACACTCTTCCTCAAGACAATTCCGGTGATGCACATCCAACGAATGAAGAGGATCCTGTCCCCAATTTTTGTCGCCGTGTCCTTGGGTGTACCCTTTCGGAGGTTGAGCCAAAGGCAAAAGACAAGTTCCTTGAGCGCTTCCAAGCGGGCGGGTCAGCGGGCTCAGGAGTGCCGCTGATCGGGGACAAGGTGGTCTACTTCTCCGGGTCTCACAAGCGATGGCTCCCGACCATCATCACAGACGTGGGGGACGGGGACGAGGTGGAGTTGGAGATCAAGCCTGGGGTCACTGGCCATGGGAACTGAGCAGATGTAAGACAATCTCTGTGTGCTTTGTTTAGGGTACCTTCTCAGGTTGGTTTGAAGGGAAAGCCAAGGAACAATCAACATCATCTTGGGTTCCCCTGTGGCAGCTTCAAGAATTGCCTCATGTTGACCCCAGACTCGCAAACCGTTGTCCTTAAGAAGGGGCTCCCCATTTCATGGGTGTCTGGTTGACTTGGTTGGGCCAGGCTGGTTCAGAGTGTTCAGCACGCAGGTAATGCAACAGCGGATATTTGTCAGACAACTGAAGTGTTGTTGGCGCCTCCGACAGTGCCGTTCTCACCCAACTCAGTTGGAGCCCTCAAAGAATCCTGGTGCATCGGATATAGCACGTCACAACTGCAGCCAGCAGTACACCAGCATGTTCAGCAACCTTCGGACTGGCAAGTGGGCAAATTTGGATAAGCACCGAACAAGGCTGTTGCAGCTGCAGCTATCACTTTGGCGATGCAGGGGTCGCTATGAATGTCCATTCTTGGACTCTCAACAGTGGCTGGCTTGTTGGACGCCAGCAATTTGCAACTCGCGGAGGGGACATCGGTGAAGCACCAGTCATTTGTTTGGCTCTGAGGTTTGGATTTGCAGAGAAGCCCAGAACAAGCTTTTGCGCTGGTGCTCCAGCCAGCTGTGACGAGGGCCGGGACCTGTAAGGCGGGTTGGGGCGTACGTTGCATCAACCCTAGGATTGGCTTCCTGGAGCATTATGTTTGACACATCCGGCGGGTCCTTGATTCATCTCGGCACCTTCCCAGCTGTCCTTTGTTGTTCTTCCTTTATCCATCAAAATGGTTGTTCTTTCGCTTTTGATGCTTGAGTTGGTCATGAATTTACTTCTTCCTTTTTGCATAGCCCTGCCACATGCAGGTCGGGAAGAGCCTGAAGCAAGAGCTGCCACCTGCTCCACAGCCAAGCTGTCGGAAGCAGTGGTCTCCAATTTTCGGGCAAGGTACCGAATGGTGGATGCTTGTCACATTTGTCTACACGCGTTTTTCAGAGTCAAACATTGTTTGGAGAATCATTTTTCGTCGCCCACTTGGCGCCTCAAGCTGCAAAGCGGAGAGAGCGCCGGTGGGAGGATAATGCACCGGGCGGCCGGTGGCCGGCTCGAAAAGCGAAGCGATGCAAGTGGGCCTGGCTGGGGGGCTGGCTGGCGGGGGTTCCAGTTCAGCTGGGTCGCGCCCTTCCAATTGCCGCTGCATGATGCAGTCCACCCGGGGATCAAGCCGGTCACTTGCAAGACCCTCGCCAAGACTACGGTAGCTATGCGGTGTTGCATAAGCTCCGTGGTGACCATGATAAGGTATGAAGGCAGTAACACCATGGTCACCGTCATGTGTTGGCATGGGCAACGGGCACTAAAGGGTGAACATGGACCTTGGCTGATTGCTAGGGAGCACGAACTAAGATACTCTATTTCTGCCTGCCACTCAACCTCACATAGTCTTCTCTTGGTTCCCTTCGCTTGGTTTCCCTGGGCAAAGGCGCGCAGAGCCGAGGCTGATTCCACCAACCGCGTATTGCGGCGGATGGCTGTGCTTTGTTATGTCCATTGGAATCTCGTCTGCAGTTGATTCCGCCAGGATGTGATGTGCGCCTGGGGGCTTGTAGCGACTTAGGTTGGGAAACCAGAGGCCTTTGGCTGGTATGGGTTGTAGTTTGGTTTGGAGCCACAAGAGGTACACATTTAAGGGTTCATGACAGTAGAAAAACCTCCCTGACCATCTTGGAAGGTGCATTCAAAACAGTCTTAGTTCTAGTGGATCTTTGTTCAGCAGCTGGCAACGATGGGGTCTGGTGTGGGTGTGGTTCCTTGCAGGAACCGAATGGGGGCAATCTGAGATGCCAGCTGTAAACTGGTTGTTACACCGTAGGGCACATGGCGCCCCGCTTGCCACTTGATTGGGTTCAAGCGGTTGGACACTGGCTTCTTTGCCCACTTTGGCAGCTGGGGCTACAGCTGCCCAGATGGCCAAGACTACAACATAGAAGGAAGAAGATCTCAATGTGATACAGCATAAGTTTTGAATACGTTGGTTTGCATGTGCAGCTTGAAAATTGACTTGGGGTAGAGTATCCCGCTCAGCAATCCACAGCAGATTCGGTAAGTGCTTGATGGAATGCAGACATGTGTCGTCCGCTAAACTGTCACCACTTTGAGACCCATTAAGACGGTTGCTGCTTTGAGGCTTGGCGAAAGTATGTAGAGACAATTCGAGAATACGGGTCGTGTTTGTCCCCATCGTCACCATCAGGTTGCTATGACTGCTCTCAATCAGTATATAGCATGTGCTTTGATTGGTGGCTGTGGTTGACTGCCTCAGCATAGACGGCAAGCAGCTTCGCATGCCATGATGTTTGCCCTTTTGCGAATTGGAATCGATTTGAGTCACGGCCATACCTGGAAGCTCAGGCAAGCCGGTCCAAGTAGATGTAAGCGAATTAATCTCTCCATGGCGCTTAGTATGACAGTGAGATGCACATAGATGTTCAAGATGATAGACTGCTTCACCTTGCGTGCCGGTGGCCAACATTCAGACTGTTGAAGTTTGAAGCGACATGCCAAGTGCAGTGAAAGCCCAAGACAAGTCGGATGCTATGCGTGGTTTCGAACACAGAGCCAATCTATGACTCCATCACGAGACTTTACATCAGACACATGTTCTCGTTAGGAAAGCTTATTCAGGGCAACAGAACATTGGCAACGCTACGAGACAATCCTGGGTTCAACTCAAGGAAAGAACGTGCCGTCAAGGTCAATTCAGGCGCACTTCTTGTCCTGAAGGCCTCGTGGTTTGTTGATGTGATTGGTAGATTGAGCGAGTTTGTAAAGGCAGGGATGTGTGTTGCTAATCAATCTTGCCGCTTGAGTCGCCCTACCTCAATCATTGTCCTTATCTTCTTCTAACTGCCACCCAATGCCGAGGAGCGATCGGTCTCTTGACCTGTGCCTGGGCCTTTGGTTGCATTTGCTGCTGCAAAGACTGTCGGCCGATGGTCATGGGTCACTGCAATGGTGCACGTTGTTTGTCCGGGCTCAGGTGTTGTTGGGCTCACCAACTTTGACCCTCTCTGTCAATGGGGAAAGGGCGGACCCCCTTCACAAAAAGGACATTTGTGCGGCTGGCCAAAACAGAACGAAACGAAGCACAAGCTAGCCTGAGTTGGAGAATGCCCGAATGTGTTCGAGGCCATTTGTGACTTTGCGGAGCTCTTCGGATGCATCACTGGCCTAGAGGAGCCGGGTCTGAAGCGGACTGGACTATAGGAGGTGCCCCCTTTTTGCCTGCAGTTTGCTTGAAAGTCGATGGCACGGCTCAGTTTGTTTCTATAATCATTTGTTTCAGTGTCCGTTTTGCCACAAGCATATTTGTGATTACGTCCTACCATTGTTTCCAGTCTTTTCGCGGACCTTGAGGGCTTCGCATCGTTTGGCCTTTGTTTCAGGACAGCATCACTGCCATCACCGTGGTGGCATTGGGCACGCTGGGAGCTTAGCACCAACTGCTTGCTTAGGAATCAGTTAGCCATGCTGCTTGGCGGATTTGTTTTGCTATTCTCTTCAGTGACTTTCAGAGTTGCCTTTTGCATTTCATAGAGCAAGGCACCTCCTTGTTGCGGGCTTAAGGACTACAAGGGAGCTGTGGCAACCCGTGCCTAGGTCCATGCCTGATCTCTTTGCATCCAAGAGCGCTGCGATGTCCAACCGGCCAGCTGCTGAGTTTCGTTTTGTTTTTTCCCGCTTGCCGCAAGCGCTACAGGAGTTGGACATGTGAGAGGGAGGGGGGATGATCGTTTGGATTGGCATGACACTAGCCTGAGATTATTGCGGGATGTTTTTGGGGTTGCTGAGAGACAGATGTGGGAGATGCTTGAACCAGTGATGCGGACAGAGCAACTGTCCCTTCGCCAGGTATGCAGATGCATCCATTGTGAACGTTACCGGGAGGCCGGGGAGAAGAGAGGGCTGCACTCTTGACTCTTGACGTTTTTTCAACACCTCACTCACTGCTACAGAGGTTGTTGGATGTGAGCATGACTTTCCCCATGCAACAGCAGGCTGGTTTGAAGTAGCATTATGTTGTGTTGCTTCACTGCCACCTCTTGAAGCAAGGACTGCTTGGATGAACTTGAACCAGCTAAACAAACCAACAAGTCACACATTTCATTTGCTCTCAAGACTTGACAGATTCCACAAGCATTCACCATTCAACGGTCTTTGGAAGACAAGCCTGGAAGTGAGCTGGGGCCACGGAGTTTGACATTTCTTAGTCTGCTCCTTGCTCCTTCCAGAGGCTTGCAGGAATTCACATTCAGTGGCGCGTCTAGGGCGTATTTGGGATGAATTGACACGAACGCCAAACGTACAAACGTTGTTGTTTGGAGGGTCCCAGTCCGCAATGTGTCTTTTGCCGCTCCGCGGGGACTGTTGCATTTTGGATCCAACTTAGAGTCACCTCTGATTCGAAGACTGTTTGAGCTGTGGTTTGTTTGAAATGTCATCCGCTGTGAGTGGTTTCGTCGACAGCCAAGGTCCAACTGTTTTGGCACCATCTCCAGTTGGAGAGTTAAAATACCTTTCACTTTTGGGCACTTCGATCGAGGTCCAGAACAGGAAGCGCATGGAAAGCACCAACGTGTCTTGGTTTCGATTGTGAGGTTAATGCCTTGGCCTTTTAGCCTTTGTAGGCACCCATCCAGGTCAATCCAATGCCGAACCCAGCCCATGGCCCGAATCCTTCGACTCGCGTGGCCAGTAACTCAGTGAACGTCTTCCTGGGCATTGGTCTGCCCTGGTCCATCGCCGCCATCTATTGGGCTGCAGGGGATGCCCAGGGGAGACATGGGCGACCTCTGTCACAGCCATCATGGATTCCTGAGAAGGTGCGTATTCCATCCCTCATTGTAGAGCTCAAGTGCCACTGGCAGAAGCGCGTTGACCTTCACAATGAAACATTTGCTGAGGCGATTAGACGGAAACTTGGAGGGGTCCTGGAGCAAATATTGTAAGGAATTGTCCACTCAAGCCATTCGATAAGTCAGGCATTTTGAAGAAATGGCCTTGCATCAGGGTATTTGTGTAGGACATGGCTTTGATTGCGTTGTGATCTCCCGCTGATTTCGAAGATGGGGCCGACCCTCAACTAGACGACTTAGCAGTGGGAGTGCTCGGTTGGTTAGTTTTCCTTGGCTCGTGATACATACCCCTTTGTGCCAACCCCCTGCACTCAGGCTTCAGGACCCTCAGAGAAGTGGCTGCTGAGATACTCTGAATATGCAGGCGGGGGTTTAGAATCCGCTCGCCGTGAATCGGAGATCTTGAAGAAACAGATCTGAGATATGCAGCGTGGGGTAAGCAAGACCAATATGCTGTAAATGTTTAGGCGCTATCATGTGGGAGGAGGACCGACACCGGTTGTGGCATTGGCTTTGCGCGCAAATCTAGAGCCCGCGGTTTGAGCGCTGCTGCTCTTGGTTCAAGCCCAGTTGAAGTCCAAAATTGAATGGTGAATATTAGATGCGGGCGAGCAACGCTGCAGATTACCCTTTTCTCTGAACTACCGTTGATTTGCACACTGCTTGTGTATTTTCATTTGGGGGGTCCAAAACATAATATTGTTCCCTTCAATACTC